ATGTGAAAGTAGAGAATAGAGGCTTTTCATGTGACGTCACGCTATAGAGAAATTTGTTTGACCGGAAAAAGGAGTTTATATTTAAAGTTGTTTTGCAGTTTCTTGAAGATCACATGTAAACTATTGAAGATATATTTTTTTAACACAAAATATTACAAAGAAATGTATGTTGGCGTGGATATCAACAGGGGTTAATGTGAATCTAAATCTGTAGGCGGGCCAGGATGGGAACAGGAAGTCGAATTTAATTAATCTATTGTTCCATCATATGGTGTTTTAACACATCAATGTAATATGCAAACATAAATTAGCTGAAGCACTAAGCACGTGATAGGAATAAGACTTTGAGCTACAGCTTTATAGAATTTTTCCYGCCCACCACTCCACAATAGAGGAAGTCAAGAGTTATTTGTGTAATATTTTTGTTTTCTCGATGTTGACTTATTATTGAGGGGAACAATAGTAAAAACGTCTGTAAAAATATAGACTTAGGATTTAAATATATATATATACACATGTTTTTATCTGTATATTCATAGTATTGAGTTATGTTAATAAAGACTAACTGAACCCATCCAAGAGTCTAGTGTGATTTAGAAGCAAAATTTGCCCGGCAGCATACATTTCTTGTTAAAAGTTTAAAAATTCACATATTTTATTCTCTGGATTATGGACAATCTTCAAGAAACTTTATAATTTTATTAATATCTATCTATGGAAAATTTGAATGCTAGCTCTTTTTTCTAAAAAAACAAATATTTTGTAAATAGCGTGACGTCACAGCTAAACCCCTCAATACTTTTGTATTAGCATCAGAAAGTCTTTCATGGACATACCTCTGATAATTTTAAAAGTGCTTCTAGTTTTTCATTATGAGATTCCTTGGCCTTTTTTGAGGATCCATCTGCTTCATTTTTCCATGCTTCACAAGCTTGTTTTGCTTGTAACCAACATTCTTCCCACGATGCTAATTTTGCTCTTGCTAACATAATTTCCTCGTTTAATCTTTGAAATTCCCCGGCACCACCTCCAAAATCCATAGGCGAGGGTTGCTGAGGAGATCCAAGCTGTTTGGGAGAGCGTAACTGGGTACTGAGTGGTTCCAATATCGTGCTGGGGAGGCCACTTCGTATAAGCGGACTAGCTCTATAAGGGTTGGTCTGCAAAAAAGTACACATAGTACTTATTGTGGTACTCTTCCAACCAAAAAAAGAATTCCTTTTTGTCTTGAAAAGAATTACAAATTTATCCTGTAGGCTTTATAGGCTTTATATGCACTTTAGCCTTGCAGATGGGGAGTGCGGGGTGGGATAATGATTATAATAATAGATGATTCCTCACCTAACAACTGGTCTAATTACTTCTTTGAGAATGCAAGTAGGAAGCCCAAGCGTTAAAAAGTATTTAGCAAGAAAGTCTATCAAAGATCTTTGTCCGATGTCACCTTAATGTCAAAACTAAACTAAAATCTGATAGCCCCATACCCCCCTTGGGTCTTAGAATATCCGGTCTCCCACCTGTTATCACCTATCTACAGCTGTAATAATGATTGGCTCTGAAACTCTATTTTGACATAGGGGTATCTATGAAGGTATTACATGTTTATTTGAAGTAACATATTTTTGTTTATTACTGATAATCTTGATGTGTTGCACGCTGTTATAGAAAATTTAGCTTGATTTTCAATTCTCACAAATGTTAGTGCATCCAAAGGTTGAGGACATAATATTCTTTTACTTTGTTGTAGTAATCTTTTTGAAATGCATTAGTTCATATCTGTATTGTATTCTGCTTATTCAATAAAACTATTCATTTAATAATAATAAATAATAATAAATAACAAGAATAAATAATAACAATATACTAATATATTATTAAAATTATACAGCTTCTCATTAATCCCATATAGGTAACTGTCCAATTATTTTCTTAATTGGACAGGTGTTGTTGATATGGGATTAATTAGGCAGCTATATAATTAATAGGTAATGGGATTTCATGCTCCCCAATCACGAAATAATTAGACTCGAAAAATTCCTCTGATTGCCAAATTGGACTCGGCCTACGGCCTCATCCAATTTTGGCAGTCCTCGGAATTTTCTTCGTCCAATTATTTCTTAATTGGACAGCATGAAGTCCTATTACATGTACTAATTAATATATATATTAATATGAACATTTAAACAATTATCACCAGGGTGGGTCACAATATTTTCATGTAAACAGGGCCTAAGTAAATGCATCTTACAAAAGAAACTGGGTCTTCATTTTATACAGTTGATGTCACAAACGTTATCCATCGTAAAAGACATTAACATCACATGTGCTCCATGCCCGCAAACATTGTGTACAAAGAGTTCATATTTATATTCACTTTGTATATTGTCACTTGTTATACACCTTATTGAAATATGGTGACCAATTTGATTAACTATTGTTCTGGACCTACTAGCACTGACTAGCCTCTCATGTGAAAACGCTCTTATGTTTCCATGTGAACACAAGGCTAGTCAGTCGCTAGTCAATGCAGAACGACAGTTATTCAAATTGGTCAATACAAACCTAAACATCATATAATGCCTAATTACCTTATGTGATGTTGATGATCCAAATGATGAAGCATAATGTCCTAAAGGAGAGGTGGGTGACTGTGGTGTAAAAGATTGTGGAGACTGACAAGATCCTGGAATACTGACTGGAGCTGACTCTATGGTAGCTATAGATAAAGATGTCAAAGACTCGCCCAATGATGTAGAACAAGGGGAAGCATTATTTAGCTCTTTTTCTAGTTCTGTTACATCAAAGTCATCTAAATTAAGATCATCAAGTGCACTTTCCACTACAGATTCCACAGTGTCTGCAGCTGGATAAAACGGTGGGGCAGAAGCAGAAACACTAGAAGGGGTTGGAGGAGCAGAACCTGAAGATGACGAAAAAGATGCTCTTGAAGCTATGAAACTCTGTCAAATAATAAAAATAATATTGTAAGACTAATATAAAGACTAAAACTGTGTTGTTTAAATCGTATTGCTCATACCTGATGTATATCAAAATACTACGCTTACCATTTTAGGTATTTACAGTATAAGTGGTACCCTCATCCATTAACAAAAGTWTTTTTCATTCTTACTAAACAGAGTAACCTCCTTTTAGTTAGTTAAATATAGAAAATTCATAGTTTATATTTATAGGTAACCCTATCAAATTATGGGTTCAGAAATGTTGTGTTCAGCTTCTGTATGGTTCCTCAATAAAAATTGGAAGGTTATTCAGCAGTTTTTAGACGTTTTTGAGCACCCTAACACTGTGGGTTCAAATTGAATGTTCAATAGCTAAAGCAGTCACCTTAACCATATTTTCTCACTCTTCTCTCCAAGAACTAGTAATAGCTCATTGAGGGAGATCATGATCTCATTATACGTTTGTTACCTGTTTTCTTCGTGCCTTTTCTGTCTCATCCAGACTTGGATCATTTTCTATCGTTAAAAGTTGCCTCCTTACTGCCGCCTGTAGACATCAATGTGATTAATAATAAACTCAACATGATAGTACTTCACAAAATAAAACCTCCATAAACCTTTGAAATAAGCCCGTCTGGAAATAAGCCCCTTATCACATGATTCCATTGTTCTTCTATTGTTCTAAGACCAAAAAGGAACATTGGGAAAATAGTATAAGCCCAGGGTTTATTTTGGGAGGTTTATGGCAATGTATATTAATATGCATAATGTGCCATAAATAGAGGATATTACATGGGTGCGCGGAGATACAAAATTTATCTTCGAGTGTTGAAAAGATCTCTCACAAGTGAGCGCAGCGAACGAGTGAGAGATTTTCAACTCCAGAAGAGAAATTTCGTATCTCCAAGCGCCCATGTATCATTCTGTTTATTACATAATTATCAATGAAGTATGTTTTGGCTTTTTCAGGCAATTCTTTCTGTGTATTTTTAAATAGCCATCGCAACAGTGTTATTTTCACACGTGAAAATAACATGTTATTTTCACRTGTGAAGATATCAATTTTTCGAAACAGAGAAAAATAGATATTTCATTGGTAATTATATAATAAACTATTGTTATTATTAACTGTCTATTGTCATTACATTACTACTTTATACATCACCTGATAATCTTCTTCTCTGCTACTAGTTCTTTCAGATCTCTCAGATCCAGGTGCCTTTGGATAAGAACCTCCAGGAGTAAGAGGTTCACTAAAACTTCCTGATCCTACAGATGATGTAGATAATGATCTTGAAGGTTTACCAATTGGTAGAGGTTGGCTAGTTGTTTGAGAACCATCCATAGAAAACATTCCTAAAGGCAAAGACTGTGGCAAAAAAAGAATGCATCCAGTTACTTTTTTTGTAACCATCTATTTTGTGGTGGGCCAGGGAAGGAGAAGGGGGCAGTAGCTTATCCCATTTCATACATTAAATATATAGAGCCCCTCGCAGCACATTGGAATGCAGCACATTTTGGAGGACATAACAATAGGTTTCTAATTCTTATGAGATTGAATTTCTTTTGTTTTGTCCTCCTAATTGAGTTGCTTTGATGTTGCATGCAAGAAGTCTATAAGTGCTGGCACCAGTTCATGGATTAATAATTGGAGAAACTTAGGTCTTAGTTTGTCTTACGCTGTACTTCTTCCTGAATTAAAGACCAAAAACAAAAACAAGTACATCTTATGAAAAAAACACCTCTTAATATCATGTGTGACACATGACACTAAAAGTTCTGTGAAATGATTTCAATTAATTTGTTTATATTAGGAAAAGTGAATGTTTAAACCTGGGAGGTGGGGGTGGGTGCTTCCATGTAAAAAACAGGGGGGATAACTGTTGATAAAGATAAATGTAGCCCTAAAATAGAGAGTTTGGGTGTGGTCCTGGTTTAATTTTAGCCGTAAATGATAACAAAAGATAAATCATTTTAGACAAGAAGGTTTGGGACATGCTAAAAACCAACAGCTTTTCCTTTCAACCCTAATTAAAGAGGAAGTGATTTAGTAATAAAAGCTCAACTCCTAAAAGATATAATGATCACCCCCTCCCATTAGTTATTTGTGGTATTGGACTATACATATACATTCATGTACAGTACATACCACATTAAAATCATCCTCAACCATCTCTCTACCAACTGCTGCTTCCTCTGAAAATATAGTACATAAATTACAATATTGCAAAAAATAAAACTTCACTTACATTGCAACGCACCTAACCATGGCCATCCAAATTATTTCCTTACTAATAGCCAATCAAATAGCAAGAATTTGTGCATATTCACGTGAAATCACTCATACTGAATACTTTTTTACTGCATACTTTTTTAATTGATGGAAACACTTGGCAAGAAAGGAATTGGCATTGGTAAAAAAAAGTAAGTTGGGTGGGCACGGTTAGGCACGCTGCATCGTAATGAAGTCACAGCTCATTTACCGACGGGGACAGAATGGTGAAGAACAATTAGAATTTGGACTAATCTTACTTTGAAAACCCAAGAATGGACTTTTTTCAGAGAAAAATTTGATTGACGAAACATAATTCACATCTTTAATAACTATCCAAGCAGCAAAAATGCCTTGGAAAAAGAAAATCAATAATTTTGGCAAGGAAAAAAGAGTCCAAATTAAAAATTGAAGGAAAAACAATTGTCACAGGTGAAAAATATTGTGATTTTTGGTTTCTAAAAATGATGCCAAAAATAATGTCAGATTTTTTTTTTTACAAAAAAGTTAATTAAGGTTTTTTTTTGTTGCTAGGATTTTAGACATTTTCTCAATTTTTTTTGACTTCAATTTTTTCTTGTTCCCTAGTGAACATTTTAGACTGGTATTCAGGCCAACTCGCTCAAAAATTGTTGAAGCTCAAACATTTTTACACATATTTAGATGCATTTAAAAAGATGGCTGTTTCAGGTGTGATAGAAGTCAAAGGGTTGATAAAATTCTTTTGACTTTGCTTTACTTTGGCAGAGACTCAATTGCAGGAAATAAAATTGCTATGAAAATGGTCAATTCAATATAATAAATGTACAGCCATGTACAGTGAAAATTAGTGCAGGCAGCAATATGTAATCATACTGTAATTATTAAAACCAGTGATGTCCCTAGCCTTCTGAATATTTCAAATCCATTTAAAATGTTGGTTATCTCAAAAATGTATATTAAACAAATTCATAAACTAAGACTTACGATCAACATGAGCAAAAGCACAAAATGGACCTCTTGGACAGTATCCAGTCTGCTGCATATCATTACATTTTGTAGACTTGTATATCTAAGAACAACAACATGATAAACACTCAAAATAGATACTTTTATTCTAAAATAGGATGTTTGCATGATGGCGTCATTTGACTCCCACTACCAAGATGCTTCGCCAATTTTCTTCCTTATTCAAATTTGTATTYCCTCATGAGAGTAGTAAGGCCATTGGTGCTAAATAAAAAAAAGTGTGCAAGGGAGTCTGGTAGTACAGGTTATTAATTACACCATCATGCAAACATCCTATTCTAACAAATCAGAAATAGGGTAGCTTGAGAAAATTATACCCCTACTACATGGCCACTTTATTTTACTAGTAAAGATTTTGGACTGGTATTCAAACCAACTCACTCAAACTTGTTGAAGGTGGAATTCCTAAAATAAGGTGCATTTTTTTACGGATGGTTTAGAGTGTCTTATGTGACAGAGGAATATTGTCAGGTTAACCATGAAAAAGAGAAATTTACAGTGTACAAGTTTCTAAAAAATGGTACATTTTAGCAGTTTTTATAAAAAGTCCATGCTTTTACCTCTGGATGGAACTGTTGTTCAGTTCTTGTATGACAATAGGGACAGTTATCTCCAATTTCACAACTTGATGGCTCTCCCCACTCATCACTATGTTTGACATGTGGACATGGCGTTGATCTGCAATATTCATAAATTATAATTAGATTACTTATGATTAGAAGGATTTTAGATAACCAACGTTATACATGATTCAAATGAGCTTGAGATTAAAATATCGTGCTAATAAAACAAACATGTGAATGCACGCTTCTGTAAATATGTTCAATTCACAAGTTAAAATTGAAGTAATTAAAAGACAGTTTATTTAATTAGAAGCTGAGCTGTCTGAGAGCAAGAAGAGAGCTACATAGAAGCTAGTGGTTCATGAAGACCAAAAATAAGTGTGCAGTAAAGCAGCATGGATACACTCGAAAGTGTAAAGAATTTGCTGAATAGCAGCGAGGTGGGTCAAATCAAGATGAGACATTGAAATCAAGAATTCATGTTTTAATTATTTTGAGTTAAAAGTTTTCTTTGCACTTAACTTTAGGATCAAAATGGTGATTTTTGAACAATTTGGTTGGATTTCAAAGTAAAGGGACTAGGAATGTACAGTTTCATGAACTCAATGACATCATGACTGTTTCAAATATAATGGTGTTTGAGATGCTTTTGAATTTTATGAATCGACATAAATTTATGTCCATTGCAAAATGCTACACAATGAGAAATATTTTGTCGTTTGACAAATTTACCTCAAAATGAAATTTAGAGTGCGACTACTCCAACCAAAGCCACCTCGACAAATTTTCTACAAGTCATACTCAATAGTGTTGAGTATTTAGACAATAGATTAGCAGCAAATTAAATTTGAGTTTAGTTATTCTTCCGTTGTTCCGGTTGGTAAAACTAAATGATGAAGAAGAGCTCKTGCTATATTTTCTTCACAAATTAGTGATTTGTGTCACCAAAAATATAGAAAAATAGTAATGAAGGACTTCAAATACGACAGGAAAGCAAATTAGAAACCGTATAAAACACAGTCTTTATGATTACAGTTTGTTTCTTCCAGACAAAGATATAATCATGCTGACACGGTTAGATCTTATCACCATGTTGCTATGCGACAGCACGTTTATGTTCGACAACAAAGGTGCTGGCAGTCTTCTCAGCCATGTAAACCCATGGGTATTTGTCTGATTTATAGCAATTCTATTGTTCAGATTCCTACTTTTGATTGGCTAATTTGTAGAAAATTTGTCGAGGTGGATTTGGTTGACTTAGTCACACTGTAAGTGTAAAAGTGCAAATATAACAAAATTATCAGTTTTGTAATGTTTCAGTTGTCTATGCTTTTTCCAAACTTTGTGATGATTTTTCCCCTTAGAATGTGGTATATTGCTATTTCCCTAAAACCAATTACTAGTATTTTTGTATCATTGCTGTCTTCATTTTTAGATAATGATGATCACATAACCATCTTTAGTGTCATTTTTATCYAATATTCATTGCTGTCATTATAGATAATATTATCAAGGTTTATACCTGTATCTAAATTTCCTTGGACTTCTTCTTCGATCCCTTGTGTTGTGGTAATATGGACAAGCATAACCTTGCCGACACAGACGTGGAGGCTTCTTACATTGTTCAGTCTTGTAATTTGATAGAACAAAATTGGTATCTGCAAAAAAGTATAATCAAACTTCTTGAAACTACTTTTTCAGTTTAAAACATTATATTTAAATGCACTACTGGTGTTTAAGGAGGCTGGAAAGTGTTTTGCGCCTTCACATACACTTACAATTATGAACTAAAAAAAATTAATATTGCTATAACATGACAGCAAGTAAACCTGGAAAACCAAAGACTATAAACCAAAGATCACAATGAACATGAAAAAATGACGTAAGACATTGCTATGGCAACATCAGAACCCTTGGTATGCCATCAAAAATGTTTATTTAAAAAATCATAATTCAGGAAACAAATGGTGAATTTAAAAAAAACCCGGAATATTTAAACTTTGTATCGTAATCTTCTCTTAGGCAAAAAAAGAAAAAATCTGTAATAGGAAATCATTAAAATCAATAAAATTTGTTTGGAATAGTTTCCTCTTACAGAATTTTTTAAATTTTTCCCTAAGTTTTTGAAAATATAATCTAAAGCCATATGCAAAATTTGAAGAAATTTCACCACAGAGTTTTTGAGCCTCCTTAAGATCAAGGAATGGTCAATGCTTATTTTTACATATCTGTTGAAAACAATTTTTGATGCCAGCGCACAAGTGTGCACAATCATTTGAACATGCATCAACAATCAATTTTCTATTCATACAGTAGATATCCAGCCAATCAGAGTGTACATTATATTATGGCTATGTTATAGACCTCTCTTTGGCTTGGGCAAGCTTGGGTGTAATGTTTTCCCATTTCAGCTAGACCATGCTTCATTCCCTAGAGTAGCATGTCTTTGTTTAAATGTTGCACTCAGTTGCATATGAGAAGACACATGAATATGGATGCAACTCAAACAAAGAATCTTATTCTGACGGAAATGACACTTGGTCTAAAATGGGAAAATATTATGTCTCAGCCGAGGAGGTCTATAATACTCAAGTTTACTTACAGAAATATATAGATTGATAAACTACATAGTCACACTACACACTGCTCTAGTTGGTTCAAAGTTGCATTTCCTTAGAGAACAGATGAACAAGCATAACTGGCTTCCAGAAAAAAAATGTTGTGAAAACTTATTAATGGCAGAGCAAACATTTAGCATTATTTTAGGACTAGAACTTGAAATTTAGTAAATTTTTTTTAATGAAAAATAAGGAAAGTTCTATATATACTCCATTTTCCAAAGTTTGCAGCTTGTACATTCAAAGCAAGTTTGAAAAATGTTTGTCATACCTTTTCTTCTAAGATGCAAAAACATTAATGTCCAATTTGAATAATGAAAAGTACTGACACAATGCAGAGGATATACGTATTGGAACACAATGAATAGTAGGCAACAATTTTGTAGAAACTCTGTAGTTAAAAGCTGAAGCTAGAATTTGGTTTACACTGCGGTCAATCAAAAATAATCACTTTGTACTTTTTATACTCTAACTTGAAGCAGTAAAAATAAATTTCACAACAAGCCGTTGAAATGTTTGCAGAATATTGAGAATTTCAGTGAGACAATATTGACAAAGTGATTGGATAAGTCAGAACTTGTCAATTATTTTATAACAATCTGATTTGCACAACTTGTTTCTTTATGATACAAGCATATAAACATCTACTGTATTTCAAAAAGGTTGGTGAAGATATTGTTTATTGATGTAATGTTGCTTACCCTGAAGCTTGAAGTGTATTATGTTGAAATACTGTCAACACCGATGACAATGTGCTGGAAAAATATGCACAGGCAAAAATTGGGAAAAATTGTGTATTATCATGACCTTTTAATGTTTTCATTTACTTTCCCCAGAGTCAGGGGAAGTAGGGGTTATTAATGTGAAATCATGATCTAATTTTTTTATTTTCGTGATTTGAAAACCTTCACCAACCTTATTTGACTCTGACGAAGGACTAACGTCCGAAACGTCAGTCTATCATCTTTCATACCTACGGYGATAAAATTATCTACTACGACACATTTTATTTGAAAAAACTGCATGTACAGTAACTTGCATGTGAGAAACTTGCTGGCTGCATTGCAATACAAAGCATTCCTTTGATATATGCAAATAACAAAGTGATTCAAACTTCTTCTGTCATATATCCAGGCATACAATACATTGAGGATATTACATAATAACTGAGCAGAGGTAAAGAATTTATTTTCTAGTGTTGAGCTGGTATCTTACGAGTGTGATTCTCCACATGAGAAGACAAAATCCACATCTCCGAGTGACCATGTAAAATTCTACTTTTGCGTGTTGTGCTATAATATATAATTATTGATGAAATATAATTTTAGTGGATTTTTACTATTTAATCATTGGCATTTCTAAGAGTTCTTACCAATGGTGTTATGAGAAAAATAGATATTTCATGTAAGATAATATACTAAATGATGTTTATGCTTAATCTACTAACACTGAATGTTTGTTCTCTATTTGCAACTGTGTGGAAATATCAGTTGTACTATTATTTATGGTTGCAATGCAAAAAAAAAAAATCATCAAGTAGCAGGAAGTTCGGACGTTTATGATGCATATTTTACTGAAATCTAATTTTGTTCGATTCTGACATTGTGTGAAAGTTTGTTATATATTCAATCAAAATAAAATTGTATATAGTTCATACATGCATTCCAGTAGGGTAAACTTATATGCGACGACAGTTGCTGTAAAAAGCAAAAATATCTGTATTTGATAAATTAAAATGAATCTACGTTTAAACTTGTTCTTACTTTATTTGGAATAAAGGATTTAAACGCTCACAAAAATTATTTCGGGCAAACTGGTTGAAGACAATACACTATTTCATCAATAATAAATGCAGTAGAGTGAAAGTGCTTGTTTAAGGAAAAAATATCTCAAAGAAAATTCTAATTTAGAGAAAGAAAATGACTGTAGAATATCTTTATTTGCATGGATAACGACCGCTGTAATTGAATTTTTTYCCCTGCTTCATCGGCCACGAAAAATCTAAATTTCGGCTGCTACTTTTTGAAAGAAATTATATCGTTTAGAATTGATTTTGAGATCCCGTTATTTATATCGTAATGGAAAAATCTGTGACACCTTAGATACTCAGAATAACTTGAATCTTAGGGGAAAGGGGATCAAACCGCAAAGTGCTATCAAAACACACATACAAAAAAAATTCTCTCAGCAAACGGAAGCTTGCAAAAAAAATAGTCCAAAACGGCGAAAAAATCGTACAAACGTACAAACCTTGCCATCTTGGATCTTCGATAACAGCCTTGTTTTCTCCACCTTGCTGTCCGTCAACATCTTCTTTTTCCATTGCTTGTAGTTCCCTAACATCATAAACTGGTTGTCGTAGATCGTGAGGTCCGTGTGCGAAAGCACAGTGAGGTCCATTCTTTACACAATATCCCCGTGAGTCAGTCTCGTATACGCAGGTAGCAGTTTTGTAATAGCGAAGATGATAGCGACGTTCAACATCGCCAGCAACTCGATGTAAGTAAGGACATCTATGAGAAAAAAATAAGAATCCTAAATGACATCGAGATAAACATCCAGATTAAACAAATTTAAAAGTAAAATGAGAAAAATATTCATGTCAACAAGAGAAAGTAAATATGACATGGAAAAAAATGGTTGCCAGTTGACCAGGACACTTACTCGTCTCCCGAAGGGCAAATTCCCGTCGTTTCGTCATACTGAGTGCAGTAAACATCAGGACTATAATTGAATGTACCATCTCTTTTTTTCCTTGGTCTTCTCCGTCTTTGATTCATAAAATGCCAGTGAAAACAAGTGAAAGGTCTGTGAGCTGTACATTTGTGCTGGAGGAAAAGAGGACACTGCTCTACTCGAAACTCCTTCAAGTACCTATGTTTGAGGAAGCATAACAAATTTTTCAAAGCTCGTATCGCAACTTTCTTACAACAGAAAAATCCATAGATTACTTACGTATAGTGGAAAGGCTTCTCTGGTTGAGGTTGAAGAGAGGAAGGTAATCTAGATTCGGTCGAACCAGAGGCTGTAGTGGAAGTCATTACAGCCTCCGAAGACGACATGTTATTTTGGGGAATCGGGAACCCGAAAACCAAACGCGCGCGCACCACAACATAGACAAACTAGTGCATCCTGGGATACCTCGCCCCTTGATTGGCTAGATATTATCACGTGCTTAGAATAATGACGTCAGATGAGAATATCTGTGTGACGTGTGATATCATTTAGAGTTTGTTTGCATACTGATATACTGATATCAAACTGAGTATTTTATCCAGCACGTTGCTAAGGGGAAGATTTTACTTGGGTTCAGAGGTTTAGCATTTTTAACAGACAATCTATTTTTTTCTTTATGGATGTAGAGTGAAATGGGGATCCTTTTTTGTCAATAATTTTTTWAAAATTTCATTTTGATTCTTTTTGGATAACAATTGAAGTGTAAACAGGTTTGGCCTATATAGCCTGTGTGCTTCCGGACTTTAATTATGGCCCGCGATTCTGGTTCCGTATTATATAAACCAGCGTCTTTATTTACAGTCAGTCACTTTGACAACTGGCTCAATGTCGACACATTGCCACATTCGTCCCCTCACAAAAATATCGCACTGCTATCTATAATATATGCTGCGTCCCCGTTCGAGGGGGCGAGGGGAGGGGGTTGGCGGTTGGGGTGGACAGAGGGTATTTTTTTGCGGTCTTTGTCCTGGGTCGAGTTGAACAATGATATGATACCGCATAAGATACATCAGGCTGCAGAGAAATGCGTAAAACTTCACAGTCTCTCCGTTTAATTGCTTGTTTACTAAATATTTCTGAAGCACACAATGAACGAATTGTTGAATCGGTTGCCCTGTCGGCGACCAATCTACACATACCTAAACAAGACCAATTTCAAGGCCTAGGAGGTAAAAACAGCAATGGAGGAGTAAAATGTCCAGCCACTGTTCTCAACATTTTCTCGGATCTGGATTACAATCGATCAGTAATAACCATTGCAGCACCAATAGAAAATATAGAGGAAAGTGTGTATAGGGCCTGTGAGACTGCTTATGATCAAATTGACTTAGGTAATCATTGTGGCGGTCACCCACGACTTGGCTCTGTTGATTTGGTTCCAATCCATCCAATCAACTCTGAAGTAGATCTAAAGGAGTGTGGTCAAGTTGCTCAACGAATTGGCCATAGAATTGTTGAAAATATCAAAGGAACGTCAGTATTTTTCTTCGGACACGCTGACGTGCCTCAAAATAGGGGATTAGTGAATAGGCGAAAAGGTGTCAATTGGTATAAAGGTAAAGGTGGAATGAGCTTTCACAATATTGGTTGGGATTTGGGTCAACGTCCATCACCTAGATATGGTTGTACAGGCGTGGGTGCTATTCCATACATTACCAATTGCAATGTGACAATAAATACAAAAGATCTGGCTCTAGGCCAGGAGATTGCAAAATCTCTACGTGCGTCAACCCCTGGGGGTTTGCAAGGAGTGCAGGCCATGGCATTTGAGCATAATGAAATGGTGGAAATAGCTTGTAATGTTGAGGCCTTTGAGGTATGTAATATTTACAAATATATATATAAATAAAATATTTGAGGTATAACACGCGCACTGATTGGCTGGCTACCATATTTATATCAAAGGACATAGCCAGGCTCGTGCGAAATCATTCAAAAATATTTTATAAGAGCGCTTGTGACTATGTACTGTGATATTAACACGATGGGAGCTGTAGAGCACTCAAGAAGTCAAAGAAACACTCGGCTATGACTTGAGTTTCTCTACGTCTTCTCTCTTGCTCTATACAGCTCCCATCGTGTTTATATCACAGTGTATAGACATGCCCACCGATTTATATTTCTTAAATAAATAAATATTATATATTTTGTATATATATACATGCACTTTTTGCGTGGCGGAGAATTTATGTTACTTGTCATTATACTTGAGGAAGTTCCACAATGAATGTACTAAACATGGGATATGTTCTCAGCCCCTCCCAAGACAGATTGTTTTCAGTCTGTAGATCTGTTGCATTGCAGTGCTTTTCAATTACATGCATGAAATTGTAACTTGCCATTGCAACAAGGTATAGGTTTTGGTGGATTTCAATCAAGTCATGGTGGAAGTGGGGGAGGGGGGGGGGTTGTTTACTAGGGGTGGTTCAGTGCCAATAGGATTTGAAAACCCTGACCATGTTTAAGAATGGCGATGCTGTGGACAATTTCATGGAAATCATATACCCTCTAGGGTATACCAAAATCCAGAGAAAGCATACCTTATTGATCCAGGGGAACATCCATGTATAGGCTGTATATGGGATTACCCCCTACTCATCCCAGGCATTCCCCAGGGATGTGTGCAAAGGTTTTAATTTCTGATCTGCCCAAATTAATCCCCCTCACAATTAATCATTTGTGCTAATCATTTTGAGGTTATCCTAAAATTGCCTAATAAAAGTCATGTACATCAATCACTCTCATCATTCTTTATTTGATCTTAGGATCCTTCAAGTGATGGACAGATTCAATACACCAAAGCAGAGGAAATAGAAAATAAAATAAAAGGACTAGCTAATACAAGAGGTGTGGATACTTTTGGATCCAAACTAGTTGGTTTTACTCCAAATGAAGCATATTTCAGAGCAGAAAAGGCTCTTTTGGAAGGGAATGCAACTGTCTGGAAATCTCTGGAGCAGGGTTTATTGATGTAACAGTAATGATGAAAAGGTAAATTGATGTAACTTTATCAGAATTGGTCTGGTACAACTTAAAAAATACTAGTGAGTCAACTGATGGCTTATTGTTGAGGGAACATGACTGAGGAAGATCATGTAGTATCAGTTACGTGGAAAGGATGGCAGTAAAAACATTTGCCTCTCACCATTATGAGTCCAATGTGACAGGTGTTGTGGGTTTAATTTGACACTGCAGATGGATGTCACATGAATAGAGTTTGTTTGGTGTAAATGCTCTCTCTTTAGTAGAGTTCTTCTCCCACATTTCCTCCCTTTGTGAAAATCAACATTTGAGTTTAGACCCAGTTGTGTGCAGTCAACTGGTGAGTGTGTTACTCGTGGTATACTTACAGTGTGACTGCTATAACTGAAGCCCCCTAGACGGTGAGAACCAATCGAATCGTAGAATGAATTTTGAAAAATGCCAAAGAATGGTAATTTGACACTGATGTTGCATGTAAACAACTACAGTAGATAGCCATTGCCATTTTCTCATGGGACTAAAAGCATATTAATATATGTCAAAAGACTGTTGTGTTCTGGTTTCTGATTGGCTCCACTACCCAAAGTTGAAGTGTATTGTTTTCATTCTACAATTTGATTGGCTCTTGCTGTAAGTGTCCCTTGTTATAGAACTCTCACTGATGTTAAATAAAGATTTCTTTCTTTTATTTTAAATAAACATGCAATTACTTTGAAAAATACAGAATGCACAGGTGTCAGGGTGTCTTTTTATATTGTATTTAATCTTTTCRATGAGAAGTACTATTATCTAAAAAGCAATTCAATTTGCTGATAGTTGAAACAATATGTGAAACACCAAGACTTGAAATTATTTGAAAATGTAACCCCCACTACTCAATGCTTTATAAATAATTATTGTTCTATGTTTGCCCTCTCAGCATCCCACCATTATAATTCAAGAAGGCTGCCATGCATATCTAAGTAAAAAGGTCTATTTGTTCAATGTCTGTTCTGGCCAACCTATTCAAAATATAAGCTATGCTGAAGTACTTCCACACTGAACAATTATCAATGTAACCTGTTCAAACAATACTTAAAGTGACACGTTCAAAGAATATTTTATAATGCCCGTTTCGGGCTGAGTGTATTTTTCATTATAAAAAGTTTTATGTCAAAAATATAAATATTGTTTTCTATAACTTTTTTAAAAAACTACAAAATATATATTATATATAGATTGTTCTAAATCTTAACCATGCAGCATTGACGTGCTACATTTTTAAGACCAATTTTACAAAGACCCTCGGAAAGAGAGCTTAATGTGCAGTACTCTGGAAAACTTTCTCTCCATGCAAGAAGCATTTGGTAGGCCTGCTCACGAACTCTGTCATGCTTGTAATCCTGCTCAATTTCATCGAGTTTGTTTTCATTTATCTTTAGTGCACGCCCCAGTTCCTTCCACATTTTAGGAACCTTGCCTGCAATTTCAAGGAAGGTATCCTCCAAAGAAATCTCATGAGGTATTTTTCTCTTTCGCATGTTCTTCTTATCACATTGGCACATTTTGGACTCAGTTTCAGCTGAATAAAATAAAGAACATATCAGCTTAAAGTCAAAATGGCTCAAGCTTGCCCTCCTAGATTTCATTAATGGTTTTATTATTGGAATATTTAAATCTATTAATTCTTTCTGAGAATATGAAGACTCTGGGTTCAAAACAATGACCCATTCAAAACTCCAATTCTGACTGAATTATGGTGTTCATTATATGGAATAATTCAATTGGAATTCAAGTTTTTTTCTTGGAAAGAATATTAAATTTCAATATTCGAATAATGAAAACAATATTAATGGAATCTAGGGGGTAAGCTTGACGGTAATACTCATTACTACTCTTTCCCTTGTATTCAGCCTAGTTAGAAAGCATTCATTTTTTATAGGGGAGGTGGGGGGGACAAGGAATACACCTGGACTATCATTGGAAAAATCAACAAACCTCTCTTCAAAGGAGTAAATATTATGATTCTATGTATTACTTGTCAGAATCTTTCGGTGGCAGAACTAACTTGGGATTGAATGAAGATAGAAATGAAAACTTGGCCCTCACCAGGTTCATTCCTGCGGCCCTCCCTCCCTCCCCCTTCNTAAATGCTCCTATATTCACATTACATTTGCCCATACTTTTCGCATACCTTCTGATGGCCCACTAAGACTGTTAATTCCACTTCCGAATGAACTGTTTAGGTGAGGAGAGTTCTTAATCTGACCAATATTATACATAGCTGAAATAAATTCACGAGGCTGTCCCCCACGCCGCTTAAAGTTGGCTAGTAACTCTGTCATRGGATCATCACTAGAAGCAATTTTATTGATTTCCACTTGAGTATAGCGTAGTGACTTTGCCAAGTCTTCCCACACTTCATCGCCCATATCCCGATCGGTTCTTATGGTAACCAAAGCTTCAAAAGTAAAAACAAAATTAGCAACAACAACAACAACAACAACAACAACAAAAAACAAAAAGCAAACATGAATAATGTCATTAATAAATGTAATAACTAATAATAAATCAATTACTTTAAAAGCAATTGGCCAATATTTATCAGCAGGTGGGAATATGTGTGGAAGGCCTTATTTAATGCAATCCTCAAAGATTGGATTGATTTAGAATCTTTATCACATTAAATAAAACATGAAAAATAAAAGGCATCAAACACAGCGTTGTCTGTAAAAAACAAACCAAAGAAAAAAGGCAGATGATGATACAGTAAACAGTGCATACCAGAATTATTAAATGAAATTTAGTAAACATTTTTTTGTTCTTATTCGAGGGCTGAATCACAAACGTTTTTTGGTGGGGGCTAAACATATTTTTCCTATAAAACCATGGTTTGGTAAATTTGGTACTATTATGAATACCTGCTAATTCTCTGCTGAGATGCACATCCCAGGCCATAGAGCTGTCGTACTGTTCTGGATCCCTGGGCTTAAAACATTATTGAAGGTTGGTTATTTAACAAATTTCAGATGCTTTAAAGTGGTATGTCTCCCTTTTTAATAATGCAAATGTAAATTTTCCTGCTTTCTCATTGGTCTAGAGCAGTCATTAATAAGAGGACATACCAACCAAGTATTTCAACCAATTACGAATCACTCGCACATGGAGCGAGAGTGTGCTTGAAAACATTTTTCCCTAGGGAAGTGGGGGGGGGGGGTACTCTAGCCCGTTTAGGGCAGGGATGTGCTGCTGAGCCCTCTGAACCCTGACCCTCTTCCAGAGTAAATTCGCTGAAAACCCTACCCTATTGTATGTTAATATAAAAAACCCTGTTCTGGTACTTGTGAAAAAAGATACCCTGTTCCAGAGAGGGTGAGCTCAATTTTATATACCCTGTTCCAGAGCTGAATAGCTGAAAACCATACCCTGTCTAGCTGCACATACCCATATTGCAAATATCGGAGGGTACCCCTGGGCATTTTTCTCAGTTCAAAATGTTTTTTGTTGTTGTTAAAAACAGATTTTTGCAATAAGCGTATATGTCTTCTTAGTTGCCACAATGTCAACGACTGGTCAAAATGTTATGTATACAACTGTTCATATTGTGGTAAATAAGAAGACTATACCACACTAAACCATAGAAAAATTAATTTGTTAACATCAGTTGATTATTCCTCAAGGCAGCCGACTTCTGCTGATTGTTTCTTGGAAAATTTCCCCGGACTCCGAAGGTTTTAAACATAATTTCTGGACCACAGAGTATTGCAAAACTCATGCTCAAACAAAATCTTTAGACTGCTCATGGGGCCAAATTGGAGTCTTTGTTAATGTCTATGCACAAAGAAAAAAAGTAAAAGCAAAAATGTCCATACCTTGTATAAGTTAAATGAGAAGAGTAGTTTTGGAGTAGAAATGTTGTCTTGTGTGGGCTGTTCTATCTCCACCCTTCCAAAGCTTCCATACAACACAGCATCCCCAGTGAAACAACAAACAAACTGAGCAACGAATTGCCGCCCTGTAAAATGTTCTTGGTGGATTAATTCTTTCTGTCCTGCTTCTACGTCAGCCTCGAACAGTTTTGAAATGACCCTACAAATCAGCAATGAAAACAAGATTTTAGTCTACTCCTTTCACTCAAGATTTGACAGTCATTCACTGAGTACATATCTAATAGACTACTGAGGTCAGCAAAAGGGAAGTAACAGTATCCGAAATATTTTTTTCCAAATGAAGAGGATCCTGAATGAGGGGGAGGGGTGCCAACTCCATTTTCCACCCAAATTTCCAAACTTTTTTCCATTCCCAGTGGCCAAAAAAAATCCTATTTTTCCCTGGTTACCATTAGCAAATGCCAGTTCCCATTTGAATCCTTCAGGACCCTCAGGTTAAGGTTGCCTGCCTTTTTTGAAAAAAAAAATGGTAATAATTTTCTAAAGTGTTTTTAGCTGCTATTATGAACTATGTAATGTAACTGTGCTCTCCATGCTTTTCAATGATAATAGCACTGTTTTGCAAGAATGTTCCTTGAGAGAAGCTTTAAATCCACCAGAGGCTTATTTGGTAGATCTTAGCAAACTACTGTAATATCATATATTACCTTATGACRAGAGGTCCTGTGCTGATCATTTTCGGCGGGTGTTTGCCAATGGAAATAGGGAAATTCCCAATACCATCAAGAGAAATGCCAAATCTACTACAACAAATACACAGGCCAAATCTGACTCCATCTTCACTGTCTGACATCAAAGCCTCACATGACACGTAAAACTGAAAGGCTGGAATGAAATGTGATGCACCAAGTTTTGCTTCGTAGAGCACTGCATCAATAACGTCCCATAACACCTTGAAAAATGTAAAATGTTCTACAGAGAAGTAAACTGAACATATGCTGTCAATGTCGCTATCAATATGCATGTTTTGAGGGTGAAACTGTTGCCAGTCTAAAGGCTCATTTTCCTGGGTTGAACTGCACCAGAATGTCAGCTGTCGATCTCCAAATGCTTCCAGAATTTCTTTTCCATTTGGTAAGGGAAGACGAACCGTTACTAGCTCTGGACTTGAGGGATCAAACTGACACCCATGGGGTCCAAGCTCAATGACTGGAGCTGCTAACCCAAATGCATTTGGATCATCATGGTCCACATCATAGGGCTCATTTGCATAGAACACTTTGACTGATGCTTGTATGTCATAAAGTAATGATGTTCCAGGGAATCTGATTTCCACTCCAGGTACTTCATCTACCACAAGAGACCCGCCCACACCTTTTCTAATTAAGCACTGTGCACTGTGATATTGCTTTTGCGCTACCACGGCAAAAAGACTAAAATGCTCTGCTCTAATCTCAACATGAGACTGGAAAACTGTGTACGACTGCTTGTCCATAGCTTGCCAGTTGGGTATTTCTCCAAACCCAGTATCACTACACAAGCAAATGATCTCATCTCTGGATTCCACCTTGACATCGTAGGGTAAGCTAATAATTGCAGGGTCTGACTTAAAAAACAGTGCTCCGTGAGGCTGCAGCATCAGTACCTCACTTCCTACCACCTGCCTTCCTCGCATACATGAAGTAGGTTGATATGCAAGATCCTCAATGATATCAAGAACGAATTCGGACTGTAGATGACCTGATTGATTACATTCTGGAATAATTACGCAAATATCACCATGTGTAATGTGCCTCTTTCTTGGCTCAGTGTCCAGCTCACACATGCTACTTTCATCATCACTGGTGCATACACTGAAATTCTCGCTATATTTGTCATCGTCATCTCTGTTCTGTTGAGGTAGAGACATATATTCTGTAAACGTTGACAAGCTTCCGTATTCACTAGTGGACTTTATGAGTTGTCTGCGACGTTTTCTAATCGTCAGGTCAAGACTAATGTCGGACATACGTCTCGGTCGTGTAATGCACCTTGTGTTCTTACTATATTCTTGTTTTCGAAGATATTCAAGATTCATCTTTCTAATTTCTTGGCTTATTCTTATTTTTTCTTTCAGATCCTCTACTAACTGAATTTCATCCTTTTGAGACTTTTCCACATTCAAGACATATTCTGAAAAACTTGTGGAAAAAATATCAATTCTGGATTCATCTGACGTAAATGCTTCATCAATGATGGTGTCCTCATAAGCCTTTTGCCTTTCCGTTTTAATTTCCTTGTTCTCTTGATCACAGAGAGAATTGGCTATGTTACTTAAAGGTTTAACAACAACAGCAAAGAACTTTCTCATAGCTTCTAGTCCTTGAATATAAATATCCCTGGGTACATTATCAATTGGGTTCCGCAGAACACGAAGACTAGTCAGGCTTGGAAGACAAAGTAAAAAATGAGGAATAATATGAATTTGATTCCCAGATAAATTGAGCCATTCTAAGCGTGACAATTTGCTCAATGAGAATGGAATTGTTTGCACACAGTTATGAGCAAGACCCAGTCTCTGAATTTGTACAAGATTACAAATTTCATCAGGTATATGTTGCAACTGGTTATGCTGAATGTAAAGTTCTTCCAAGTTGGTCAACAGTCCCAGTTCCAGTGGAAAACCTTCCAGTGAATTGTAGCTTAAATCCAAAAACTTTAAGCTGGTTATTAATGGTTTTTGAGAGACACACTTTGGAAGCCCATCCAGATAGTGACCACGAAGATAAAAAGTTGACTGGCATGATTTTTTTGCATTGATAAGGATCTTGTCTTTCTCTTTAAGTCCAATAAGAGTTACCATATCTTTCTTGGGTGAACTTTCATTTCATTCAGAGATAGTTTTGCACACAGGTCTAGATAGAATGATAAGTATGTTAGTTAAGATCATAATCTAAATCTAAATTCAAATATTACTGCATTTAACTTCCCTAGAAGATTTATGAAATATAACAGTATGTATGCTTTGTAATCATCAAATCATTATAATTAATTATTGTTTTGGTAAGAGAACAAGTGGTATAGACACAACAGCAGCAATAACAGAAGTAGTAAGAGGGTAAGGCCCTATTTATATGGAGAAAAGTCCTCCGAGAAATCTGAGACAGCCAGAAGTCTCTTTCTCTTTATAGGTGGTAGCAAAAGTGCAGTGATTGATAGAGGAGTTTTCGTATGACTGTGAAAAGTTTAGTGCAATAAGCATTCCCTGCAGTGACTGTGGTGTTTGCAATAATTTCAATTGGCTGATTTTTCTTGCATAATGCAATGTGCTTGTTCTGACAGTGAGGTGACTGGTGTGACCATGTCTGCGCCGTGTTTGTGCCGTGTTCTGGGAATTTGATTGGATGGAGAGTAAATTCTCGAGCAAAGTGATTGGAGTATGGAGTATGGAGTACAGTGTATGCTTTGCCATGTTCGTGCCGTGAGCTTTTTACAGTCATACAGTCAATTCAAAAAATGATTACTACCCAGAGTAGCGTAGGCTTGAGTAGGTCGACGAAAATGTTTTTCGAATTGACTGTATGAAAACTTTTCTAGCAAAAATACTGGTAAAGTACCATATACCACATGGACACATGTCCACGGACCCTTTGACATCAGTTACACAGCCCATAGTCTGATGTACACCATATACACTATGAACACTCATACACTATACTAGGTACACGTACATGGATACTTTGACATGAGTCACACAGCCCACGCATGTACACCACATGTCCATATAGTTTTATATTTTACGAAATTTGAGGGATAAAAAATCTATGCGCATGTTTCTGCACTGTGATATAAACATGCTAGGAGCTGTAGAGCATGAGAGAGACAATTTTAGAAACACAAGGCATAGTCAAATGTTCTCTTGTTTTTTGAGTCAGTGTCCATGTGCATTTGTACATAGTACAGTGTGTGAATGTTAATGGTGTATATGGTGTACATGACTGCTGTGGGCTGTGTAACTCATGTCAAATTGTCCATGTATATAGTATATCGTAGAGTGTATGAGTGTAAATGGTGCATATGTTGTGTTTTACTTTGGGCTGTGTGATCCATGTCAAAGAGTCTATATGTACAAAGTACCTGTGTAGTGTATGAGTGTTCATAGTGTTATTATGCGACGGTTTGCATAATGTCACATAGTCATATAATTATATCTTTAGTTTTTACCACGTTAATAGTACTATTTTATCACAGTGTTTAATAGTTAAATTGTATACAAATACCCTTCTTATTAAATGTTGTATTGCAATTTAATGTAAGAGTGTAAACTGTCATTGTCATTGTCATTTGTGATATCAGACACTGACAAATCATAAATTCACTACGTAAAGTTTAGCAAAAAAAAACAAAACATGGAATGTATAAAGTAAACTTGCATGTTGTTTTTTTCATAGTACTGACAGCCGACACTATTAAAACCCTCAAAGAATCGAAAGCTGCTTAACAGTTAAAGAAAAGCGCATATATCAGGTTTACATGTCAGCATAGCTGAATCTTTAAGGGTTTTGTCATTTTTCATCAGCCTTTTATTAATACTGTCAATTAATATTCTAGACCTGAGCTCCTCGTAATAGAATTCCATAAATCTTTTTAACGCTATTCATATGTAGGCCGTGCATTACAGTTAAGCTATACCTTTAAATAGATATGTCGTACAGTAATTAACAACAATAGTAAATTTTCTTGGTGGCAAGTAGCGTCGTCTAGAAAGTGAATGGAATAACAAACTAACTATTTAGCAAGAATTTTAATTTAACCTACAATTCAAATATAATATTCATGGTTTAATAATAAGCTTACAAAATTTTTAAGGTACTTAACGCAAAGTTAAAAAAATAACGCACAATCAGCTGGGCGATAAACTGAACCTCCCTTTACTCGACTCCTGCTCTAATTTCAAATCCATGAACTTCCAATATTTTTGTGATATCATTCCATTATATCAAATCGTAATTGTTAGTAAGTTGTAAGAAGTTGAATATTATATCTTCCTCTCAAGGGTATATCACCAAGAACACAAATAAAAGCATGTAAAGTTTTTTCAACGTACGACAGCTCTAGTCTAGTAAAATGCATGCCTGAGTACTTGCCTGAGCAGCCCTGAAATGAAGTGTATTGAATACCTTGGAAACAACAAATTATTGAGTTTTTGGCATCAAAGCTCTAAATACTTTATACTTCTTACCATTTAAAGTGTCAGATCCAGGTTTTCTCATGTTTTATAGCAACAAAACTTTTGTTTTTCATGTAAAATCCACACACGCTGATGATCAACAAGTTGTTGGAGTCTAGTCTGTACAACTGAATGCATTCAGCGGTCATGCCTGGGCACGCGCAAAGAATAACAATAGTTGTCATGGTGAAACCAGTTTATTTGTGTGCAACGACACGTGGCCAGGACAAAAAACTTGTCCGTCTCAAATATGTCCCGCATAGAGAAATATAACTGGTGTCCATATGTAGAGCCTGACCATTTAGCAGTATGAAAACTAAAAAAAACTCGAGAATTTTCGACTACTGAAAACCCACGTGTGACCCACCCTAAAATGTACCTCGAAGAAATTACTTTCTCAGATCCCACCCCTTATTGCGGCAGAAAAATGACCTCCCCTGGTTTTCATATCGCATTCCCCTAAGTCATGGAATTACGTAAAACGAAATTTTGGAGTAGAGAATATCGTATGAACATTTACTATGATATTTTATATCACGTAAAGTGCTCAATTTTCAGTTTTTTCTTCTGGATTCMAAACTCTTTTCCACTCAGCCGGTTAAAAAAAATCCATTAAAAAAACGTATAACATGATTAATATACGGTACATTTATGTTGAAATGTGATTTAAATACAAGATCTTACATCAACATAAGGTACTGAATTAGGAAAGATTACGTCAAATCTGAACGGGTCTATACCCCCCATGTCGAGTTCGCCTTTGCTCAGTCTTAACCTCGATTGTGTACAAATGTTGTTTTCTCTTACTAAGGTCAATTAATTTATTACGTACTACGGAACAATGAGTTGATTAAAATGCCGCGGGTTTTGGTCGAATCGCTGGATAATATAACGCAAAACCGAGACTAATTAATGAGACTGAGGAAGGAGAACTCGAAACTGGAGCACTGAACCCGACATCAAAGTATAAAAACAACGCTCCATAGTTCATTGTTTATTGGAATGTGATAGAGTGAATGTCAACATTTCTACTCTCTCTTTTAATATTCATTTTTGTTTCGTGTGCATCCATATAATATGAGCCATTATATTTACATGGTTTTTTTCTCATTCACAATGAGAATTACTGATCAAAAGCAGCTTACAAGACACCATAGCAACAAAATAAATATATCTAACTCTTTAATATCTTTAAAAAACGTGGGTCACGGTGCTAAGGCACTATCAAAAAGTTGTGAAAATTTGCAATCCTAGGTCATTTGTGCAAACAGGTCACGTGACCCAACACCCTTAAATATTTCATTGTATCAAAACGAAAACCAGAAATGAAAAGGACTTCTTTTAGTAAGAACATCTCCAGTGCAGTCGAGATGCTATTTTCAATTCTGGTGTTCACTTTTGACACAAATGCCAGTCTTATAGGGGATAAAGTCCTGAATGTTGTGCGCTAAAAGGATTTGTTATAGCAAGTGACCCAGACTACTTCAACATGCATGGATTACTTTTTAAAAGACTACAAATATACATGCTCATGATAGTCGCATTATGGGAGTTTATGGATAGCGTAAAAGTAAAACTCAGCCTTTTTACTCCTTTGAGGAAAACAATGAAATTTTAAGATAAACTAGCTACTTTCTCTCCATCCAAGGTACTGCAGGGTGGATTGAAAACTGTGATTTTATTTTCTTGCTTCGGGAGTGAAATTTACCCGGGAGTTGGCGAGATGAATAGGTTCAGAACTGCTGTTAAATGTGTGATGATTCTTATGCAAATGATGATCAGCCAAGTTACAGTTATCTTTTAGATCTTCGATGTAAGCTCCATGATCTTTTTTATGACTTAAATCCTTTCGTCTCGCCGTCTCAATCCCATTAGAAATAGTAAAAGTAAAGCTTACAAGATCCGACGTGGTAATTGGATTACCATGACTTTCGTATAAAGCTGTCTCAGTTTCAAAAACCTCTGTGATTGCAGGTAAATTAGCTGATGCCAGATTCTGTTCATAACTTTCGGACATTGGATTCAACTGTGGGTCCATGAAGACGTGTTCGAGGATAGGTAGACTACTTGATGATGATGATGATGGATGTAAACTATCTGGTGTTGTTGAATATGACGAGTGACTTTCATGTGACAAAATGCTTTCGATTTCACCCAAAGGCAGCATCTCAAAGTCTTGGAAGGAGTCTTCGTTTGGGGTATCTTTGAGATATTCATTGCTTTCTTCCACTACTCCATTACTCTTAGAAGCATCTGGTTGTAAATAAGACGGGTTTGCAATCAAATGTTTAGCCGAAAAATGCTCACCATCTTGTAGAGACACTTCGTCATTATGCGGGGCATCAAATACACCTCCCAAATGGAAGGCAAAAGCATTAGGTACTGGATAAGGGTTCGTAATAAAAGACGCACTATTTGTACCATTAACACCGGTTTCCGTGCCACCTGAACGATTTTGACATACATTGTTTGTCATCATAGGCTGCCGTTGAATGGGCGAAAATGACGAACAAGGTGAATCACTGTGGCCACCTTCATCTATAAAGGAACTATGCAATTCTTTGATTATGGAGGTCATTTCGTTATCAAGAACAGCCAAACATCCTTCACTAACTTGGGAAGTAACCACAGCTTCAGATTTAGAAGTGACATCAGCATTAAAATGAGGTAATCTAGGCTGTTCATAAATAGTGTTAGGAGTAGTCTTGGTTGCATTAACAGATGAAGGAGCTTCATGGTAATCACCTGCTGGTAATTGCAGGACATATCCATTACGGTAACCTGGTGACTTGCTTACAGCTGGAAAAGAGGAACAAACTTTAAATTATTTTGTTCTTTTTGTCTAGAACAACAAAATTGGCAACACCAAGGAAACTAGCGAAGAACAAATATTCTTCGTTAGGGAAGGTACGTTACAACTGAGTTACTTATTTCCCGGTCGAGATATATTTAGATTTAGCTAGTGTCACGTGGTGTGATCTTTCAACTAATAAGAGTGTTCGTTATATCGAAAAATTTCGTAGCTATAGACCAAATGCAAAACTCGCATTGATGTGAGGCTTAAGCTGTGAACAAAGGGATCTGGCGTGATGCAAAGCAATTTGGCGTGATTTAAAGGTCACGAATCATGCCAGATCCCTTTGTTCACAACTTAAGCCTCACATCAATGCGAGTTTTACATTTGGTCTATATAACAATACATTTTCTATCCTCGGGGAATGGAGTACCGAAGTGTGACGTCATCAAATTTTGCAATTCAGTTTTGAAATGATCATATTTTCTAGAACACACCATTGCCTACATTTCTGCCAGCTTTAAGGCTGTTCCGAGCTTTAGAATGGAGATGTTGGGTATTTAAGATCCAAAAACCCCCATACATTTTCTTTTATTTTGGATTGGATCCAATCACGTTAGATCCAGCCTTAAATAACAGAAAATGTATGGGGATATGTTCGTATTAAATGACCTATATCTCAGCCGTTTTTCGCTCTATCGGTGTGAAGTTTAGCACCAATTCATATTTTTACATGCAGTTTCTGATGTCACCAAAATCCCAAATGTCTTTAAAACAATTTTGTGACGTCCACTTCGAACTTTTTGAACTTTGAACTTTTTATTTATTAACACACATTAATAGAAATAAAAGAATTATTACAAGGATATAATTATGGAAATTATAAGAGCCAATGATTTACAATTGAAATATAGAAAAAAGAATAAGAGAAAGTGTGTGTGGTTGTCGAAGGAGTAAAATACTTTCTAGTCGACAGCCACTTACTGTGATTGATTRTTATAACATATTTTGACCAAGAGCCGATTCGGAAATATACATAAATATTTACACTTAAAGCGCTACTCTGACGAAAATCGCTTAAACATGGATTCAGCTGAAACCCCCCAAGAACACTCCCCAACACTCCCCAAAACTCGGGGATACTCTTCGATACTCTGTTGAACTCTATTTTTGTGCACATACTGTGCAGGAAGTTTCTATTTTTTTGTACACTAATCTGGCTGCCTTGTCACATGTGTCAAAAAACACGTCCTATAGAAAAACGTGTCTTTCCAAACATAACTTTATTTTGCATAAAGGCCTATCTTGTTTGTAGAACCTCTGACCAGTGTAGCCTTTAAGGTAATTCTTGTTTTGCACTGCGCATTTTTATGCGCATACAACTAAAAGCATGGAACTAACAAAATTTAGGCATTTTTCTTTCGGAAACTAAATAAGAAACATGTTCAAAATCAATTTTAACTTTTTTTTGAGTAGAGAAATTGCGATTTTTATCTGACTCGCCCCAGTCTCCACTCGGAAAAGTGTAAGACTACTCTTTTTTTTTTTTTCAAAAAAAAAAARAAGATAAATCAAAAGCGAGAACGGGGACCCCCATAACTAATGACCATGCAAAGTTTCAGGACAAAGTTATCGGTAAAATTTCTTTCAAGGGAATTACCTTATAAGGAGACTATGCTCAAACAACGCTATTAGCCAGTCAAGATGTAGCCTCTTTCGCAGCCGTTCTTAGGGTCGTCACGCAACGTTGCGTGACGACCCTAAGAACGGCTGCGAAGGAGGCTAGTCAAGATGCTGCAATGTTATACTTTACAAGACTGTTCTTGAGTCAAAACGTTTCAATGACTTACCAAACAACATTATCAACACTACTGACTATAAACAATTTTGTTCACTTTGCGAGTCATTTCTTAAGTTTAAATTGTTTTAACAATGAATTGTGAATATGTTTTCTTTGGGCCAAAAGTTTATATACGAAAAGAATGACTAGAAGTTTTTTGAGTAAGATATTTCGGACGATATCCATCGTCCATCATCAGTTTAATGAATCACTATACGTGTATTAATGAAATAAAACAAGTGAAATAAATAATGATAATGAAATAAGATTAATTAAAATTCATAATATAATTTGCTTAGTTTTGTTGTTTATAATGCGCCATTGTTTTGCTCTAGCTTTGTCATCTCTTCYCTTTGGTCAGAGGCAAGTGCTCTCACTGCTACGCCACTAACGCTTCACCTAAAATATTTGATATTTGACCTTTCATTTCCAAAAACTTACTTAAGGTTTGTATGGAAGTCGTCACACCATTGGCCGTGCTGGTTATGAATCCAGATGTGTTGCTTGATAAGGATTGGAATGAACTCTCAGCATCTGAACTCAAGCTCCCATGTGCACTGTCACAAGGAGAGGAACAACTTGATGAAGAAGCCGAAGATAGACACTTTGTCAAGGCTTTTATTTTTTCTTGCCCTTCAATCCATTCTTTCATTTCTTTAATATTCTGAGCCTTGTAATACGCCCCTTCTTCATCGCTTGAGGAAAAAGAAAGAATTCAGTCGAACCGTCAAGGTGGGAATCACTACGCGCTTTATTCAACAACTCATGAATAATTCAAAAGCCTTAGCAGCGACCATAACGCATGACGTGCATGGATCTTTAGTGGGAGTTAAATACCGAGTACGCAGGCATTGAGTCATATTTAACAGTTATTCTCCAAAGAAAAAGTGATTATTGGTGAATATTTAGCATAATCACTGAGCCTGAACAATTGTTTAAGTATATTGTTATTTTCTAAGAGTAATTGCTTTATAGTATAATTTTAGACTTGAGAGAGAGAGAAGACGAAATTAGGGATTTAAAAAGTTATTAATATTTCAGTTGTGGCGATTTTACATTGGCTCACAACCAGTAAACCGTCTTGAAAGGTGTCCAGGGATCCCCAGGGACAGGGGGATGGGATAGACATATTGTTAGTGGAGGCAGTCGTAAGGCAAGTGGGGACAAGATGATAGACAAGGGATAACCAGGGGATCCCCAGGGACAGGGGGGATGGGATAGATATATTGTTAGTGGAGGGAAGGCAAGTACAGTAAAAAACTAGAACATAGAAATAAACTATAACAACAAACTAAAATAGTCAACTCACCTAACAAATACATTATGTGCTACCATGCCCTCTATTTGACCATTCTTCAGCATAGTGTATCCTGTGCCTCGTACCCACTGCCATTTTCCATTTCCCTTCAAAATCCTGAACGTTATAGAAGCTTTGAAATCTTTCATTACTGAAAACCATGAGGGAAAAATGCGATTTAATAACCTTTCAGAAATATGAATCGGAAGATGAATATGTGTTTTTCATACGTATAAGCATAAAAATATATAATTAATGTGGAAAAAATTGTCATCATCATTACTCACAGCGTTCATGGACCAAAGCCATGGAACTAAGGTCATCTGGATGGAAGAAGAAGTAGGCACTTTTACCCATCAAGTCTTGTTCATTGAACCGAAGAACTTTTAGACCCCTGCAGATAGAAACGAAAGAGTATTATTCTCTACTTTCACATACCCATAATACTTTGCAACTTGGGGGGGGGGGGGTAAAGCATTATTTGCTATGGAGAAGTAGAGAGTAGGAGATGCAGAGAGATTGCAATAATATCAAACAACCAAATACATCAAGTGTGCATAAGGTGAAACTGCATAACCATAAACTTAATGTCTGGACCTCAGTCTTGCAGGATGATGCTTGGAACATGTTCTTTTGGTTTCAGGAAACCTATCTTGTTATCATTCCACTCAAGCACAAATCATCAGTTTGGCATCATTTCATACAAGGCATTTTTGGGTCAAGTGGAATCATTTTTTTTGTGTGTGAAGCAGACGAACAAACTCTAAAGCACTGTACATTATAATCCCATTAGTGAAACTAGTGTAGAAATACTGCAACACTCCGGTGCCCAACATCAAGAGTGAAACAATGTTTTTTTATAATTTATGCACCAAGTAAAAGAAGCAACAGTATAGCTCACCTGCTATCAACTTGCAAATTTGCCATAGCTGCATCCATTTTGCATGTGTATTTCTCTATGTGTTCTTTGATTGGCCTGTTAATATTTTCACTTCTGCTAACAGGCGAACAAAGTGCAAAGAATCCATATTGGCTTCCAGTTTTTGCACCCCTTTTGATCATCTTTAAGTGACCATAAAACCTAAAACACTGAAAAATAATACTTGGCATGTAAGTTTCTGAGGAAATACTCGTTTCCACATGTTTAAACAATCTGTTTTACTGCTACACAATTATACCTTATAATAAAAAGGGCTGATATGGCTAGACAACCGTCCTGCATGACATCTAATATTGCAATAGCATTCTTGACGTGAATCTGTAAATATGAAATAAAAAGTTCAACCAGTACAGTAAAGAAGAAGCATGCAAAGGGTATTGCATACTGAGTGAAGGCTAAAGACATCTAATAAGCCAATCATGGTGCCTCGCCTTTGTGATCAATTAATCAGAATGTTCTATACTTATGGCAATGACACAGCCACAGCAAAGCAGATGGGATATTCCTATTCCACACTTYTTTTTAATTTATACATGTAGCCAAGTGAAAAGTGCCCTCTAGCAAAGGAACCCATTACCAAGTTATTTCCATACATTGCATGATTTGAGTTTTAACAGTCTAATAAAAACCGCTGACAGCTAGCTGTACAGTAGAAAAAAACCCTGCCAGTTTGTCTTGATTAAATAATTATATATTAATGGCTTTTGTTTAACAAATTCGCTGATGTATACGGAAAGTGGTTAGTGACACACGAGTACCAGGTGGCATATTAGTGCCCCTGGGGATATGACGGGATCATTAAAATGATGTCCACCACCAATTTATAGTTCCGACTCACACAATAGGGATCAATAACGACCATAATTACAGCAGTTTTTCTAGTGCAACTAAAATCTTGTCCCACAAACAACTACACAGTATGTGTTCAAAAGAGTACTACAAGGATTACAAGACAATTTTCTTTATTTTCTGAGGACATGAAACAATTGAAGCAATTCATTATTTATTTTCCAAGTTTTAAATTCTGAGATATTCTAGATAATAATTATTTGTTGAGCTCGTAGGACATAGCAATGGTAAATAAGGGGAGTTGGAACTATGAATAAGTAAGCAGCATTTCTAGGCTTTCACCTACATGTAAGCCATCGAAAATTTTCCAAAGACTTATAGACAACAAACCGAAAGAACAACGAAAACTATATATCTATCTAAATACTGTATCTATATATCAAAATTTGTAGCTAAAAGAATTATTAGATATGGAGATATGAGCGATTGATTATACTCATAAATTAGTTGAAATGTATGGGTCCACCATCTTGGTGTCCTATTGAGGGGTACAAACATGGAGGGCAAATCATGAAGGTTGAAAATCATGTTTATATTGCACTCACTTAATAAAGTTAACAATCATCTACTAAATCGAAACAAAAATAATAATGTAGCATTTCAATTAAATTTCCTTATTTCTAATGCTTTGAATATGCATGACAATGATTACTCGGCTGGTAATAAATCTAAACCGAACATCGAAAAAATACAAAATTATTTTGGTAAAGCTTTTCTCATAATGATGTAAACGAAATGTTTGACAAACTGTTTTGTGGAGTGAATATTTTGAATTTTAATATTTATTGATGACRTCAAGTGAAAGCCAAGAATAACTTAATATGCATAATACATTTTCACAAACCTGGCACCGTGAATGGCAAATTATGGCTCTCCTTTGAAAAACCTGTTTTCTGATTCAAAAGAAAGGAATGTCATCAGTATAAATAGTTACATACAATGTACATATAGATATACCTACATATACATCTGCATACCTTCGTTAAGATGCATAATCTTAATTAGCTTAATTAGCTAATTAAGATGCATAATAAATGACACACTCATTCAAATTATTGCAAAATTATTGTTATGTTCAAAACATATACAAAGCAGGTGAGACCAAAAATTGTTCTGAGAAATGATGTTATTCTGTTATTCATTTGAGACACACAGTGGATATCAAACATTCAAACATGTGTTAAATGCCTCCATGCTTTCTGTCAGTCCAACAAGTTATGATCACCATTCCATGATTTTCCACAGCAAGATAGCAGAAACATGTGGATTGACTAATGTTTTGGTGCAAGATTGAGCAACAGTTTCACTATTAACATTTTAATAAATTAAAGATGTATATACAGTCTAATCATACTGCATTATGCACTGTATAGCTAAAATAAACATAACGATTCTCTGTTTGATCTCAAGATAATCAGCTCGGCATTGCTTGATGCACTATTCATGCTACATATATCAGGCTTCAGACCTATATTTTATGTACACTTTGTATTTTTTATTCATTATTTAGTCAACAATTCTTCAATTGCATGTTATGTCATTGCGGCCTCTCAGGGGAGCGTTCAAGGTGCCATTAAACAAAAGTTTTTTTTATTAGCATCCATTGTAGTTAATGGCACCACAATGGCCTTTGTCTTTCAACTCCCTTGGGAATGCTTGCAATCCATCTATTGATACTAAATATTCAATACCCATGCATGGCTATTTCCTAGATGTTAACTACATTTTGTTCTAACCTTTGATGGGCACTCCTCAAAACATGACTTGAAGCCTTGCAAGTCTTCAGGGTGAACATGAGAAAAGAAATCTTGATGCATTAGCCGTGTCTGTGATCAGATAATAATTTTTTTAGATTATTAATAAATTTGTTATAATTTAAAAAAATTCTAAACTCCAAATAATCCCCAAGCAGATGGAATGAACTTGGCACGTTGGTAAGGGAGTTTGATTGATGGAAGCCAAAATGCCAGACATCTGGAGTCAGTAGGTCACGGAATCATGAAAAGTACTATAAGTGGCACTTGAAGCAGCCATCTCATATCAAGAAAAATTCTGAACTCGTTGACATTTACCTGGTACACAACATCATCAGAGCCAACAGACCTACTTGGCTTGGGCTTAATGTTCTCCCATTACAGACCATGTGTCATTTTCCCTTGAGAATAAGATTCTTTGTTTGAGTTGTATTTTTATTCATGTGTCTTCTCATGTGCAACTGTTAAACAAAGAAATAATACTCTAGGGAATGACACATGATCTGAAATGGGAGAACATTGTATACCTGAGCCAAACCAGCATTATTTACATAACAATGTTCAGTGTTTGGTAAAGGTTGGCAGTCAATGGACATGCATGGATGCGTGTGTCTTTTGGCATGCATGCTAGCAAGCCATGAGGGAATTAAGATTAAACATCAAAAAGTGTTTTGACTAACCTGACTGTACCCAAGATAGTTCTTAACATTTTCTGAGACATAATAAACATTACCATCTTCTGTTATCACAATGAAAAATCCACCTATAGCCTGTTCAAAAAAAATAAAATAAAATAAAAAATACAGTTTTAATAGCTGTTTGGAAGTGTTCTTATTTCATGAATATAAAATATGGTTTGGTATGTATTTATAAACTCTCAGTCCACCCGCAGAGCTATGGAGAATAAGAAAATGAACATAAATTGCTTGGATATCAATCCTACATCTACCTGTTATCTCTCAGGTCTTTTAATTTTTGCACAGAGTTAGGACATCAATGAGACTCATTACAGCTTATTTTTCAGACTAATTTTACAACTTGTATATTAAAGTGGCTCCCTAGAGACATCTAGACTTGATGTGAAAGCGTTGTCTAGTAATACATGTAAACATAGAGTTTTGGGTAGTAATCTATTGCTAATGGAGGCTCACACATTGATACCCAACAGGCCAACCATATTATTATTAAAGTTGGTGAGTTTAGAATTCAATTTTTATGAAGCTGATCATAGATTTGTATACAAGGTTACTATGGTAACACTATGTAGCTATGATGAAGGCCATTCTTGGTTCTAAAAAGCCATTCAGGCTACCTTCTAAAATGCTCTCAACGCCATAATACAACTTTATCCATAATTTTGACAACTGGCCCACCCCAAACTGACCACCCTCCTGACCACCCTCCCAACCACCCTCCTGACCCCCCTCCTGACCACCCTCCTGACCCCCCTCCTGACCCCC